ACTCTTGATTTACCTTTTATACATGTATAAATTTTGTTACCGATCCAGGGAGCCCCTGGCACTCCTGGTGAGGTATATGATGAGGGCCTCTGCGGAGGTGATGCCTCAAATATGAAACTATGTATGTATTTGAAATAAAATCTTTTATTCAAAAAAAAAAAAAGTAGCTGGAAATATCCAGTTTATTATGTACAGGGTGCTCAGTTATACAGATTAGTTTGGTTGAAGAAGCAATATATTAGAATAGAATAGAGTTAAGAACTCATGAAAAGAGAATCAAAATATGATGAGAAGGATCATTTTCTGTTTTATTATAAACATCAAAAAGATGGCATATCAAGTATTATTATCAAGTATAATTTCAAGATCCCATTTGGAGTCATTGTTGGGAGTTACATACATGTGAGCACTATAAGCCTGGAGAGTTAATTTTCTTAAAAGCTAACTTATAATAATACAATTAACATGATTTATTTCCAAAGAAATCTTACACGGTAAGAAAAGTGGGTTTTTTTCTAGTACAGCGTTGCTTGAAACCAGACAGAATCAATTCATACATGCTACTGTTGAAATGAGAGGGGTTGATCAGGATCAGCCATTTTTATTAAGGGGCAATATTTTGTCTCCATATGAATTTTTCTTAACATATTGGCACATGTAATTCTTCATTTTTAATATATATTATTTTGCTATCAAATAATCCAATGTTAGCTAATATAATTTTTTATTGCTTAAGTTCTCATAACTTGACACATTTACAAAACATCAATTGAATCAAAATTTTCGGTCTACTCATTATACAGAAGTATTAAATTTAGGAGGGATGGGGGGTCTCGAGTTATATTCAAGGGGATGCAGTTTCCCCAGTGAATAGGTTAAAATTAGGGCGGTTGGTCGTGGGTCAGTTGAATGCGGCTTTCCCATTTTATGCGGTGACCGAAACCTATGGATTCCAAAGGTTTCGGCCATGTGGCGTTTGCGCCGAGCCATTCAAATGATGCTATAAATCATCGTGCTGCTGCTGCTGGAAACAAACTCATTTACTGTGAAAATGTGTGCTGCTTTCAACAAATTCATCGTAACATTGATCGTTTATTATTTCTTGATATTCAAAAAAATGATTTTTCCCATACTATTTGAAAATATTTCAAAGAGACAAAATAGAAAATTATGAAAGAAATGTAAATTGACCAAATACATGTATACCTAAAGACAAATTATTTAACCAAGATCAATACATTCATTCGTATAAAAATGTTTCCAAACTACTTCTTTGACATGTATGTTGTATATATCGTCTTCTTCAGCCAGTTTTTATATTAAATTCAGTCCATTGTTTTGCGTAACCCATGCTAAGCATATGTCATTGAAAATAATTTTCACTTTCCTCAGAAATAGAAAAATCTGTGCAAATTTGAAAAAGGTTATATATTTCTTCTTAATATATGTTGAAAATGTTTATTATAATAATCATTTTTCATGTATACTGAAAGGATTAAGAAAGGCATATTTAACTTTTGGGTTAAATTAAAACAATTATTTCAAATATGTTTTTCAGCTTTTTTATCATACATATTAATTCATCTTTAATCAACAAATCACCAAAATTTTGTGCGATTTTGAGTGATAGTTCCTGAGATATTGATATCAATATGGTGACACCCCCCAAAAATAAAACTAAAAATTCTCATAATCTCCCTTTCGCATCAGTAACAAACTTGATTTTCCTGTGCATTGAGTTCACCAGAGCATTTATTTTTTCATAGCATTATTATTCAACCCTTTCGACGGTAGTCTTAATGGCTGAGATTAGCTGTATTATTCCAAAGTCAACAAATCCCCCCGCTCAATCGAGTCCCGCGAATTTTCGATTTAGGATAGAATATACAGAACCCAGCAGGTTTGGTACTTGTGAATGTTTGTAAAAAAGTATCGACAAATATTAGCTACATTTTTCCAGTGTAAACATGCTGAAAAACATTACGCAAATGACGCGTACGTGCGCGTTTGAGAGTAAAATCGACGTAAGCTGGCCAAGCTCGCGGCCCAAATTAGAGCGGAGAGTTTCTGTCAGTTTAGGGTGAAAAAAGTGAGTATGTTTGTCTGCTGTATAAATATCAGTTTCGGTGATAATGCCTTGACAATAACCGAGGTTGGGTGATGAAAAGCCCTATATTGTAGTGACGATGGTACGCGCCAACGTCACCGTCATGGTTGGTTGGAAACATTTTAAGTTCACACTCTGACAACCAAAAAACACTTTTACTAGGTTGAAAAGTTGAAAACATTCTGTACATCAGCATGTTTTTGCCTTTTTATTCACTTATGCAATATTGAATTCAATTACTAAACCCCCAGTAGATTCCGTCAGCCATACCACGATTGCAAGACATTTATACTGACTGCAAATATGCAAAAACGATGTCTATAACTCTTATGCATAGTATGGTACTACAAAATTTTATTACAAAATTATCATCATTAACATGCACGCGTTTTTTACTTTTTATCATTTCCCCTACGTGATGCCATACATTTCATGGTTGAGTAGTTTTGACTAGTCATTTTAGTGCAAAGTAACCAAAATAAACATTTGACCAATTTTCATAATTTTCGGTCACATAGTCAGAAATTTTTCCCATATCATGTTCTTGTGCGTTTCTTTCTCCTTTCAGTATATATGTTGTCTAGTGTAAAATGCCCCTTTTAGCAGGGTACACGAATGTCCAAACGGTTTAAAAATGTCGCAATACAGTATTTGTATTTTTAAAATATAGAATAACGGTAATTGTACAATTTGTTTTCAGATTGGCACAATGAAATCAAAGAAATATCAATTTTGAGCGCAATGACTGATAGGGGATCTCTCTGTGATAAAATTGAGAATGCGATCACTGAGTATATAAACCTACAGGGTTTAGCACTGATATTTTATCTGAACGTTTTAACTAAGTAGTGCAGTAAAATGAAATAAAAATTTATTAAAACATGATGTATATTATTAGTGTCTCAAATACGGTGACATTTAAATTAGAGAAGGGACTTTGATTCTATGAATTATAATTATCTTGTTTAAGAAAATTAGGATTTTGCTCTTGTTACAATAAACTATAATTTGGTAAATCATTTTGTTATGGAATATATCAGAGTAGACAAATCAAGCCCATTGATACTAAGTAATAGATTTTGAATGGAAATACAAAGTTACTACTAAGATTCTTGACCAAGAGTAATAAAATTGGGGACTTTGAAGTAGATAAGTACTTTAAAAAGCCTAGGGCTAGAACTCCTGTGGTGCAGAGATGGAGACTAAAGTCCATAAATATTACTTACGTGTGTTTACCTGTATTTGAGGGTGGTGCTATGTTGGGGTTCATAGATCAACGGACAGAACTACGGACACAGCGTAAGTGGCATGTAATGGTAAAACAGCCAATGAAGTGTAATTTTATATCCGGGACCATGAATACCCTCTGAGCACAAAATACCCAGTTTGTCAAAAAACGGCAATCTCATTCTCATTTTATTCTTTTCCTGATAATGATTCTTTTGGACTATTTTTGAAATTAATCTTTTAGAATTTTATTTTTCAGGAGTTTAGTCAAACACTCTTATATATTTGGGACAGATCTTTTGAACATTTGTATAAAAAGTGTAATGATTTGTTCTGATTAAATATTATATTTCAGAAACTTTTTATCATCAATCTATACGATGAAAGTGAGTTTGTCAATTTGGATTCATAAAACTTATTAACCAACAAAAGTTTTATCATTGACGTTAAATAATCTAAATTTGACGATGAACTCATGTAAAAAGCAATTATAATGAAAAAAGTGTAAGATCCAGACGATCCGGAAATAACGAAAGGAAACCATCGACAATTATGGCTTTGAATTAGACTACTGCTATTGCTGTTTCGTGTAAAGGAAAGACATAGACCAAATTTAAATAAAAATATCATTTTATAAGCATAGGTGATTTGGTAAGAAAACAATCAACAATAATTAAATCTCAAGGGCAATCAAAAAACTGCTTCATTAAAATTTAATTATAAATAGAATAAACAGTTTCAGGTTGAGGACGTATAATACGTTTTCAGAGTTTGTGCCCAATTCCTTTGTATTCAAAATTTACAATAAAAATATGTTCGAAGCAAAATGAGTAGAACTCTTTTTTTGAACATGTATTTCTACTAATTTAACTATGAGCAATATTAAACATATAATCGAGAAAATTAAGAGTGAAATATGGTAGAATATAGCCAACTCTCCAGTACTGTCAGTCATTGATCATTTATATGTGCAGAGTTTTACCAAAAAAACAAAAAAACAAACGTACTACATGTGTATTTATGAGTCGTGTTTAAATAAAAACAGTTAATTTCAATTTGTTAGACTCTGCATACATCATTGAGCGCGGGCAGTCATTACTGATGATGGTTTTGCTTTCATGCGTTTCTTCCATGAATTTATCATAACAATTCAAGTTTTATAGTTTTATAGCGATATATGATGCTCAATCTTGTTATTCTAAAGTGTCTCAGATTTACATTGTTGTAAGATTTACAACTAAGTTGTTTACGTAATTTCCAAGCGTTTAGTTCATAATCTTAAATTCCTAGAATTAAACTCTTAAAACTGCATTGCTAATACTTGAACACCTAAACTGAATAGTGTTCTTGTTTATAAGAACAATAATATTTGAGAACTACATTGTACAATGCAAAAACTCCAATTATTTTTAAATTTGCAAATAATTTCATTATAACGAGGCATTTCAAGAACATTGATTTGTAAAAGATATTTCTTATCAAAAATTTGATCACATATGCATCCTTCAAAACATTGTAAAATATATTTTTTTCAATAAAAATATAACGCAGATCATTCGAACTATAGTTTATTTTAGAAATTAGGAGGTGAAAAGCACGTGTAGTTATACACAACATTGGCGAGATAAGCCTCCGCCACAATAACCTTTCAGATATCGACCAAGTGCTACAGCGATTCCAATTATTTTGGCAAATTCCACCTCTGTTCCAGCATTGTATATCCTTTCCTGTGAACAATAAACACGTAATTTAATAATTTTAGTCTCATTCAAAGCATTTTAAAGAATTCTTGAGAAAAATGCAAAGGATGAATCATTTTAAAATGCGTGCATCATGATTATTTGTCAAAAACATTAGACTAAGTCTTTTCTTCCAAATTAAGGCACTTTAAATAAATATTTCTGAAATTGTGCTGCACTGATAATCTTTTGCTTTCTCTCAGAATATATATATTCTAAATTTATCCCGCTTCAGACAAATTTGTCGATTACTGATTGGATAAAAGCTAATCACATGACGCCCTGAAATTTTCCGTATTACGTCTCCGTTTCCATATTACGTCTCTGTCGAGGCGTAATATGAAAATCGGGCACGCGATTCCGTTCGAAGCATTGTTATTATTGTAAATAAAAATGGCGGCGAAGAAACGGTTTACGTAGGTAGTTTAGTTAAATTTCTTGTTACCGTAACGATATTTTATGTTGATTGTTATTGGATTAAAATTAATATTTTCATAATATGCACAAATATTTTTTTTTACATTGAAAAGGGTCTTCAGCGGGATAAATTCGTAACACAGTCAGTTAGTGACCTAATACGTATTCATACAGGGTGTGAAATGGAAATCCGTATTGGGACTCGGCTTCGCCTCGCCCAATACGGATTTCCATTTCACACCCTGTATGAATCCGTATTAGGTCACTAACTGACTGTGTAACTAATAATATTTGTCTAGTTTACCAAGAACGCAACATTGTCTGTTGGTTGGTCCAGCACAATACCCTGCTTTATATTCAAATCAAGGTTCGGATGTGTATTGGCATCTTCCATTCATAGACCAGCATGGAGAATCGTCCCCTAAAATAAAAACAATAAAGATAATATTGGATAAATGTAGAATGATTATTTTTAACGTATGGAAATAAAAGTACTAATACATTTTCAGCACATGCCAAAAAATCTACAGATTTGTCTGTGTACTACCTCCATATACTGTACCTTGTAATAAATTTAGATCTATTTGCAAGGTAGATTTATTCAAGAAACGAATTAAATATTTCAAGATTCATGAGAACATTAACATGTCCTCATGATCCTTCAAAAAGTAAATTCATTGTTTAAATGTTCAATGATAATCTTAAACTTTAATTAATTAATAAACATGTATACTAAATCTTTGGAAACCTTAATAAATGAAAATTGAGGAATACACATGTATTATCCAATACTATTCTATTCCCATATAAAACAGATTTTCAAAAAAACTTGAATATAATTCAATAAATCTGTTTCTTTTAAAATGAAAATCGTTCTGCGTCTTACAAAGATTACATGTACATAGGATAATTAAGAATCAATGTAGCTTACCTCTGATGAAAGAGAGGGAAGAAATCAAAAGAAAAACCATGAGAACAATGGGTAACTGATTCATGGTCGCTGCTGAAATGGAATAAAAGTGATAAAAGAGAAATCATACCGAGAATTTATAGCCATGTTACCACTTAGAATATGCACAAACTGCTATTTTGATTACTAGGACATGTAGGACGATACTTCAACTGAGCACAGTTGGTCTTCTTACAAAAATCTGCTCCATGCATTTCAATGTATCTATATAACGTTGAGCGCTTTTATTATTGGGAACTCTGAGTCTCAGTATACGTGATGTGGTCTAATCTTGATTATGAACTTTTTTTATCATCTAATTTCTCCATCATTTTGAATTTTACTGTGGCAAAAGAGTAGATTTTATTTGAAAAAGCAGCTGTCAATGATATAAAAAAAACTCTTAACTTCATTTTGTTGTGGGAAATGATTTTATCTATAAATTAAAGTTTTAATGATGTTGATTTTGGAAAAAGAATTGTTTGTGACTTCAAATTTTCCAAATGTTAATTCGAAATTTAAGCATCCACATTTGATGAATACCATCTTCCAAATATACTGAAGCACAGTACTCATGAAATAACTTTTTCACTACTGTATATATTTTAATTAGGAGTAATAAGGTGCTTGGACTAACATTTACTTAAACAGGACATGTGTAATTTTGTTAAGATTTTTTATGTAGTTTCAGAATCCAAAATAGAAATGGTTATTCAAACATAAACTCGCTCAAACATCAAATACCTATTTCGTGGGGGGGGGGGGGCGGGGGGGGGAGTGGTGACTTCTATTGCCTCAAATCTTTAATCTTTCACTTTTCATACCCATTTTGCACATATTCGCGTTTACCAGGGGGGTCAGAGTTTTCCAATGGGGGCCCATGGTAACTTTTTCTTGTCTTAGTATATACATCTTTTTAACCTGGTATTTTCCTGCCCCCCCCCCCCGACCCCCCTCTAGATCCGCGCATGAATCATACTAACAATAAACACACACAAACTGCGCAGCGCAGTTAAGGCTACAAAATGGGGCGGAACCTAATTTGTACGGGAAAACTTAACTATGCATCATACAAAACCAACAATTCTTAAAGATACTACAAAATTAGGTAATTTGCAATTTTAACCTGTATGAAATCATCAAAGTACACCAAAACGTACTATACGGCATATTATTTTGTCGTTACTTAAATCCCATATAACAAGTCTTAATCAAGTCACTGATCGCAACACACTTCGTACAACATGACGCAGTTTGTATGCAGTAGGAGACAAATCAAGTAATATTTTCTCAAATAAAATGTATTCTATAATTAAATAAACTGTTATTTGTAGATAAACTATACGTCAATAACCTTGATTCAATGTCTTCTTTACTACTTTATTAGTATATTTTCCGTATATTTCCTATTTAGTTGATACTACCGTATATTTGTACGTTACGTGCATCGGAGGGTAATGTGAGGTATTGCTGTTTTCTTTAGGTCAATACAATGATTTAACCATCTGAGGAGCACAATATTACCGCGCCCGAAGGGCGAGGTGAATATTGTACTTCGAAGATGGCTAAATCATTGTATTGACCAAAACTAAAACAGCCATAAATGTATTATCATATGATTCACTGATAAAATAATACAGCTCATTAATTGTTTGCATTTTATTAAGTTCTAGCCAAATATAAGAGAGAAGTCGAATCAAAATGAAAATAAACCTTACCAGTCGTATCAGTTTGAAATGTTTTTTTTAAATTAATTTTAGATGCAATAAATATATATATATATATATATATATACGAGGGGCGTTCAATATCTTTTATCCAAACCATATTACAGCAACAACAACAAAATACAAATTCAAATCATTTATTTCATTCCCTCAAAGTAATCCCCTTTATATTTAATACAGAGATGAAGTCTTTTAATCCAGTCATAAAACACATTTTTGTAAGTTTTTTGTGGTATACCCCTTAGATACTGAAAAATAGCGCTGACCGCGATTGAAAACGCCTTCCAGAGAGAGCTTCCTTTAATTTTGGAAACAAGAAAAAGTTACAAGGCGAAGATCAGGTGAATATGCGGGATGTGGAAGTTCGAGTAACTTTTGCTGTATGGGCAGGAGCATTGTCATGCAGAAGTTTGATGCCTCTTAAACCGGTATTAGGTCGTCTTTTTTGTAAAAATTATAAAGTCTTGGAAGTATATTTGAAGTGGAAGAATTTCCAGTTACACTTCTGCCCTGTGGGACTGCATATTGGACTACCAAGCCATCTGAGTTGAAAAATATTACGTAAAGAGCTTTTTTAGAAGTTTGAGTTCTTTTTGCAATTATTGGCCTCTTCATATTCTTTCCAATCCAAACCTGATTTTTCACTTTTCTTTCTGGCCTAAAAAAATGAACCCATGTTTAATCACCTGTGACAATCTGACTTAGCTTCCTGGTGTCCATATTTTTAAACATTTTCAAAAGTTTTTGGCACTTTTGTAAACGGTCCCTCTTCTGAGCTTTGGTAAGAATATATGGAATCCACCTTGCACAAATTTTACGGTACTTTAATTTAGTTTTTAAAATAGTAAAAACACTGCCCGTTGAAATTCCTACACTTTTTGCTATTTCTTTGACGATAAGTCGTGCATCTGTCTTAAGAATATCACGGGTTTTGGAAACATTACTTTTGGTGACTGCTCTTGGTGGTCTTCCTGAATGGTTGTCGTCGGAAACATGTGTTCTGCCACTCTTAAAATTGCTAACACATCTGTAAACTGTCTTTTTTGAATTAACAGACCCACCATATATCTGAACATTTTCTTCATATATTTCATTTCGTTCCATACCAATAACACAACGAGCAAGAATATACCTTATTATTTCAAGTGACTTCAGACTTCGTGTTTTACCCATAATTGATGTCCAGTGTATTCGAGTAAGTCAGTTGCAAACGTAAGTGTGTGTTTCAGGGTGCACGGATTTATTCCAAATTTTGACACAATGTCAATAAAAGATAAATTCATTCACGGATGACCAGATTCCGAATCGACTGATCTAATTTATATTGAAAACCATTAGAAACAAAAAATATTGAACGCCCCTCGTATAATGAAAAAAGGTCATAGTCGTTTAAATAGCCTTCCAAAACAATTTGTATCTGGAATTTCCCGGTCTATTTTTAGATCAATGTAGAGGAAATAAATCCTTTTATTCACCAGGAACGTAATGTGTAGGTCAATACAACGCAGTGGTTTTCTAACATAGTTGGATCTCAGCCAATCAGAGAGATGGGAATTAATTAATCATATAACAAAAAGTTTTATCTGAAGCACATAGACATTAAACAGCAATAACTCATACAAGGTTTCATCAGATCCTTTTGCACTAAATAGACTGAATTTGTACTTAAAGACCCTGTAGACTTTAGCAAAGACTTCGTGTCTCTACCGTTTGCGGTTTCGGGGCAGTAGCGATAACAAGTTCTTTTTTTTTTTTTGCATAAGGGGCAATAACTTTTAAAAATAATATAAATCCGTTCCTTTGATTTCACTGTTTACAACATCGCATACTCATTTAGTATATTTTAAAAGCGTTTTAAAGATCTGGGTCACATTATCAAAGATGAAATAACCTTAAAAGCAGGGAATACTAGTTGGATTATTGTGTCAAGCAACAAAAGAACAATAGTACTGAGCTATAAGTATTTTATTTGGCTGAATTGGCCGCGGCCGCTTCAATGAAGGAGCCGAGGCATTAATATACTGCCCTTGTAATGGCATCCTAGAAAATGTGAAACCCGGGTACAGATGTCCACTGACTAATCTATACTTTGAAAACATTTGTTAAAATGTTGACAAAGAGTTCAATGAGCCTACTGGTAAGCCCAATATCCGCATTCCTGACGGGAACTGTAGGTATGTAAGGTAATTACATTCAGGCGGCCATGACGAGGGGTTCCTTATAATGCTGCAGCTGGGACTGAAAACTATAATCTGAAACGATAAAAATACTCGGCAGGAAAAGGAAAAGGAGAGCCAAAAAAAAATATGTGAACTATGTTGGGCAAATTTATATTGAACTTAACAAACAATTCTAGAAATCCAATTCAACTATTGTTTGCTAGGAATGGGATGGTGGGCAAAAGTTTCAGCACAGACTGATTACGCATAAGTGCCGTGACGTCAGACTTCCCTTGCTAAGTGCTACCAATTTAATTCCCAAACAAGGAATGGAACTGATAAATACCGTAAACATTGACAAGTGAACCCGATGCATTTTCGGCCAGACCACACCACAAATATTTATTTCACTTTGATAAATAGATTTAACCTTTAGTGGTTAAATCCCATTATCAAAGATTATATAACCTTAAAAGCAGGGATAACTAGTTGAATTATTGTGTCAAACAACATAAGAACAATAGTACTTAGTGATTAGTATTTTATTTGGTTGAATGGGCCACGGACGCTTCAATGCAGGAACAGAGGCTTCAATATACTGCCCTTGTAATGACATCCTAGAGAATGTGAATCCTGGGAACAAATGTCCACTGACTAATCCATACTTGGAAATATTTGTTAAAATGTTGAAAAAGAGTTTAATGAGCCTACTGATAAACCCGATATCCGCCAAAAGACTGTGCCGCAGCACAATCTGCGCCATCAGCAGGCATATGACAAAATTGCAAATTATGATTTATATGAACATGTAACTAGAACCATAATAGCCAATATATATGCATGTAGTAATGCCTTAGCAATAAGCAACAATCAATCTTAAATGAGGGCAAAAATATTGCCATAAATATGTCAATAAATGTAAGCAGTATTGCCTTAACAATAAGCAATGACAATGTGCATGCAAAAATAATGGACTAGTCACAAATGCTCAGCCATATTAAATATATATGGCTGGAACTATGACCCCATAACTAGTCATAGCGCAGCCATGGCCCAAAGTATGACAAAATGCAAATTATGATTTATATAAAAATGTCACTAGAACCATAATAACCAATATGTGTCAATAAATGCAAATAGTATTACCTTAGCAATAAGCAACTATCAATA